CATATTTTAAAAAAACTATTTAAATGTCAGTGGACTCAATGCTGCAATCAAAAGACACAGGGTGGCAGAATGGATTAATACACAAGAAAAACAAGACTCATCTATATGCTGCCTACAATAGATTCATTTTAGATTAAAAGACACACAATGAAAGTGAAGGGATAGAAAAAAAATTTCATGCAACTAGAAATAAAAAGAAAGCTAGAGTAGCTTTACCCATATCAGACAAACTTTAAAACAAAGAATGTGAAGAGACAAAGAAGGACATTACATAATGATACATATGTATAGATATTTACAGTCATATCTTCATGGATTGACCCCTTTATCAGATCTCTCTCCAAAGAAAATGAAAACACTAATTTGAAAAGGTATCTACACCCCTATGTTCACTGGAGCATTATTAGCCAAGATATGGACGCAACCTCAGTGTTCATCAGGTGAGTAGATAAAAATATGGTATGTACAATAGAATATTTACACAGCAATAGAAAAAATGAAATCCTGCCAACAGCAACATGGATGGACTTACAGGGTATTATGCTAAGTGAATAAGTCACAGAAAAACACATACACTGTAGGATTTCACTTATATGTGGAATCTAAAACAAAAACTAAATAAAAACAGCCCTGGCCGGTTCTGCTCAGCGGTTAGAGCATCGGCCAGCGGACCAGAGAGCCCCAGATTCGGTTCCTGCTAAGGGCACATACTTGGGTTGCAGTTTGTCCCTGGCCCCGGTGGGGTCATGTGGTTGTATCTCTCACATCAATGTTTCTCTCTCCCTTCTTCCCTCTCTCCCTCCTGCTCTATCTGAAGATAAATGAAAAATGTCCTCGGGTGAGGATAAACTACCTACCCCTACTTCAGAGTGTAGATTGTCTCTTTTTTAAATTTCACGTTGACTTAATTTCTAAGAGAACTATTAAGTTGGAGAAAACTATTAAGTTGGAAACTCTTGCTTAGCTAGAATATATGGCAGAGTCTAGTGAACTTCCTGAGATCGTTGCTCACTTTTCCTTTCCATTGGCCCTCTCTGAACTCGGCCCTCACTTCTACCACAGCACTTACCTGCTAATGCATTCTTGAAGAGAACATGCCACATCTGAGGCCACAGGCCAAGCACAATATGTGCCACAAGTATAGACTCAAATATTTGCTGGACATATTTGGGCCTGTACTTTGAGGTATATGGAAACATAATGAAAAGTTGTTACCACTGACATTTAAATGTGAAGAAGCCTTTAGCATCAATTGGGACAAGAGAGAATTGGAATTACGCTTTCTCAGAGCAAGCAAAATGACACCTTGATATACATCCTAAATAAGTCATAAGAGCTAAGAAAAAAATCCTTTGTGCCCTGGCCAGTGTAGCTCAGTGGTTAGAGCATCAGCGCACACACAGAAGGGTCTTGGGTTCAATTCCTGGTCGAGGGTACCTACCTGGGTTGCAACACCTGGGATGCAGGTTTGATCCCCAGCTCCAGTCAATGAAGTGAGGAAGGGAGGCAACCAATCAATGTGTATCTCTCCGCCTCCCACTCTCTCCAGAAATCAATAGAAAAAATATCCTCGGGTGAGGAGTAACAAAAATTCTTGTTCAAAAGAGAAAAATCTTTACGTACATAGAGATGTCAAAAAATACCAGCACAATACTAAAGGTACATAATAAATGAAGATACACAAAATTGGTATTAGAAGATAAAGAGGCTAATCCAAATATGTATTAAATAATAATTTATCAAATAATTAAATTATTATATATTACATAAAATCAGCTTGGAGGGATGACCCTTTAAGATTTTGCAAAGGATAAACTTGATTATTAAAGAGCAGTGTTGATTTTATTATAAAAAATTTAAATAATCTGTAGAATCAGATGACACAGAAAAAATGGTCATTTTTAGGATGACAATAAAGTTAAAATTTGGTAATTCCTTTTTTCCTTCCCATAATGTTATTATATGGTTTTCCACACTGGCATTTTTCATGAGTATGTATTATAGTTGGGATAACCTTCATTTCTGATTTGGTATTTAATAGTGGTAGAGTTACACATCTTGCTTACGGAAATTCATAAACACTCAAAGTGCCCCCTCTTAATTTTCCATTAAAAGCAGAGCAAATATTGTGACAAAAGTTTCTGCAGAATATGTGATACTGTATCTTGCAGTAATGTCTGCACTGCAAAGGAAGGGAACAAATACTTTAAATTATACAGTTCAGAGAAAGAAAAACAGGTGATTAGAGGTCCATAGACCCAAGGATCTCTCTAGAGGGGAAAAAAGATGAAAAGGCATCATTCAAGATGAGGTAGAAGAGACCAGGAGCCACCAAAACACTCCACTTTGTGAAATACGTCCAGGAGCAGGAATAACAGAGATTGTATATATTTTGTACTGTAAAACAATGTGCATCATACAAACTTAAAACCTATAATTAAAACCTGTAGTTTCAGTGAATCAATGTCATGAAAATCATTCACACAACATTAAGTAGGCAAATATGTTTAAAAAAATATTTTAATAAGCATATTCAGAATGGCAGACAGGGAATGGGAGAAGGGAATTATTTTACAGTGCAAAATTACTATGCATAAATTTAAAAACATCTAACTCATAATTTTAAATGCCTATTTAAATATTATTTCAAATACATTTTAAAGCTCAACAGATTTATGTTGAACTGAGTTGCAGATTCTGAACTCTATTTGAAAACACATCATAGAACAGAATACCATTCCAAATGAAAATGATAGTGCTTTGCTGGAGGTGGGAGAGACTAAGTAGCTATTAACAAAGGCTTCTTTTCCCAATGCAATTTGTCAAGAGTTCCAGAGTTATGAAGTATACTAAATGTTAAGCAAATTAGATTCATGATATTACTAAAAATTTTATAGTGCAACGACTTATCAAGTTATAATGGCTGCATTATGAAGAGCAAAGTACTGTGTGAAATACCTGCATAAACACAAACTATAATTAAATATTTCTTACGAAAAGCTGAGCATTATGTATTATAATAGTGGAATGTCTTTCATTAAGCATATTTTAAAAAGATAAAGATTTTCTAGCATGTATACATGTGCCGTATTCAAGAACTTCACAAACCTGAAACAAAATGCATCTTTTATAAAAGGTGAAAATGGTATCTCAAATATTGCAACAACTTAAAAAGTACATTACTATTTGTTTGAAATATTTCTATAGTCTTTGACAAAGAGCTAGGATACTTTGGATTCATTTTAATAAAATTTAATTTAGAAAATGGATTGTGACCATGTTAAAGCTGCCATTCTGGATAAATTAATGTTCTAGGTAAAACAAAACAAAACAAAAACAAAAGAAAATTCATGCTTCTCAACACTTCACCCAAAACTTAGATTTACTTGGATATGCACATATATGAAGTGAATGTACATAATATGAAGTCAGTCAAGTGTTGTAAAGTGGCTTTTAACACTGTTTGGGGGGAAAACTTGTCCACACTGATAGAGGGAAGCAGTCTGAACATATGTTAATAGTAATACTTCATGGGAATAAGGCCTAAACCATATCATCTCAGTGCAAACCTCTACTCAATTGCATTAGACAGTTGAGCCATTAAAAACAAGATCACAGAAGATTTATTTTAAAAAGGCATCGGCTCTTGAACTTGATGGCTAAAAATGAATTGGTAGAAGTATTTGGGGTATGCCTATGTGATAAAAACAATAGTTAACAATCTTTTATAAAAGTTTGGATATAGGTTGGTCTATCAGTTGTATAAAACTACATTTTTTTAACAAGGATTTTGCACTAAAAATAAAATGGCACTCTTGCAAGGCTATGCAAATGGATGATCCTACTTGTAATCATAGAGCAATCGTTACTGTATATCCTATTTTCATTTTGGAAATACACTATCAAATCTGGAAAATTAAGACTCCAAAAACACTTGTCTAACTTCATCACTTTTTCCTCTTAAAAATTAAGTGTTGCCCTGCTAACTCCTTGTGTGTGCCAATTATCTAAATATCACTTGACCTTTTCCCCAGTTGAGTTAATGCAAAAATGGGAAATTTCATAATGCATATAAAAATAACTGAAGAGGATTTTGGTCAGCATGATACATTTAAGCCAACATTAAACTTTTGCCTTGCTTCAAAAATAATTTTGAAAATTATAGCAAGTACAAATAAACTATGAATCTAAGTATCATGCTTAATTTCAGAATTCTCACACTATTTACCCATAAGTAAAACTGAAGAAAAAAAAGTTTCACAATCCTTCATGAATGCTTTTAACCACCTGGATAAGAAACATGACTCAGTTACTACACAAACACTTAAAAATTCATTAGAAAAACCATAGCAAAATAAAATGAAAGCTGACAGACTCAGAATATTAATTCCTCTCATAAAAGTTTACCAACTGTACAAGTTAAGAAAATTATACAAGCTTTTGTATTAAGAAAGGACAGCCCAGTCAAGACATATGTACTGTAAAAATCTTTCAAAGGCTACAAAGAATCTGGAAAAATACAGAATGTATTTCTTAAGTCCAGATAAGAATATGGAAAGACATCATTGATGTCAACAATTTTACATATACAAACCTGACTTGGTTTATTTTTAAACTTCTATATATAAAAAAAATCATGCTAGCATAACTTTCAGGATTTATAAGGGTTTCCTTAATAATGACGCTCAATTTGTATATAGAGAAAAATGTCTGCAAGAGTTCAATAAACTGAAGAAAAACAAAACAAAACTGGCGTTAAGCAGAAAATGTTTTTCTTCTCTGCCATCAAAATTCAGCAAAAAATACCTTGTATTAAAATTTGAGGATCAATACATCCAATGAGAAGGTACAGACAGTTTTTTAGTTCATTCAAATTTACTAACCTATTTGTAAAATCCTTAAAAGAGTATAGTTTTAAAATAAAAATTCTGCAAAAGGCAGAATTATGAAATCTTATTCACTAAAGTTAGGACTCAATTCAGTTTTAAAATTGTAATCAATTGCTTCAAGGAAGTCAAGTTTTTAAGGTAACCCATAAATCCTGAAAATTTTAGTCACACCAGGATTTACTTCAAAGAAAGTAAAATAAGTCTAAAATTCAGTCATCTGTGTTTTCAAGTTCTTCAAATTTTCCATGTGAGATTGTTTCTTGGAAAAATTCAGAAGAACCTGGACTTTCTTTTCCATTGCTGTTTACCCTTCGCCTTTTGGCAGGTCTCTCACTTTTTTCATCAATATGGGCAAGTTTTGGGTCAGTGGTAAGGTTATCTGTTTCATAACCATTACTATCCATATCTGCGTGAAGTGGTTTCTTAATTCCACCTGTTGGTCCATTAACGTGTAACCCTTCAACTTTTACTTCTTCTTTGTTTAATATTTCACCTGGTCCATTAGATGACACCCCTAAGTTGGAAGAAATATAAACTGCTAATATTAAACTGCTATAAGACAGCTACTGTTATAAGACAGCTTTTCATCAAGGAAGCAAATTATCAAATCTGTGTGTATGGTCTGAAATCTGGCTTTATTTAGTGTGGAGCTGTGTGACCTTAGGCAAATTATTTATATTATCTGTACCTCAGTCTCATCACATATACAGTGAGGATAATTTACCTTACAGGGTTATTGTGAAGATTAATTAAGTTAATAAATGTAAAGAATTAAGAATCTGGTGTATATTAAGAGCATCTTGATATTATATGACAAAATAAGCAATGGATCCAGCAGTCAAAATAAGTTAAATTTAAGCAAAGACATACATAAATTATTTAGCATTAGCAAATGGCTGTAACTTTCTAAAACTATGTAAGAAATTATATTCCTGCCTTAAAAGCTTGAGCTTTATACTGCCATATAAAATCGAGATGACGCCCTGGCCGGTTTGGCTCAGCGGTTAGAGCGTCGGCCTGCGGTCCGGAGAGACCCGGGTTCGGTTCCCGCTAAGGGCACGTACCTCGGTTGCAGTTTGTCCCCGGCCCTGGTTGGTTGTGCGGGTGGCAGCCACTCGATGTGTCCCTTCACGTCGATGTTTCTCTCTCTCTCCCTTCCTCTCTCTCTCCCTCCCACTCTATCTGTACAAAAAAATGGAAAATATCCTCGGGTGAGGATAAAAAAAAAAACAACTAAAATCGAGATGACGTGACTTTTTTATTCTTAATGTAAATCTAAGGCTATTACTATACTTGAAGGGTAAAGATTATATATTTATCTAATTTAAATAATGTCATGTTAAAAATTAATGCCTGTACTAAGTAAACACTTGAAAATGCTAATAGTAAACACAAATTCCTCCATAACAGGTAAGAAAAGAACATAATTATTCTAATAAAAGCAAGTAATAAAAAGGTCATGTTCACTCTGGCCAGTTTGACTCAGCGGTTAGAGCATCAGCCTGTAGTCCAGAGAGACCCGGGTTCAGTTCCCGCTAAGGGCGTGTACCTTGGTTGCAGTTTGTCTCCGGCCCTGGTTGGTCGTGTGGGTGGCAGCCACTCGATGTGTCCCTTTCACGTCGATGTTTCTCTCTCTCTCTCTGTATCCCTCCCACTCTATCTGAACAAAAAATGGAAAAATGTCCTCGAGTGAGGATAATAAAAAAAAAAAAAGGTCATGTCCAAGTTAACTACAAAATGAAACCGAAATTTTGGGGATACTTAATGTAAAAATATAGGATGTACCACTACAGATAATTAAAAATTAATTAAAATATTCAGTATAAAGGATGAACTTCAAATATTACATTTTAGTCAAAGCAAATATTCTATTTTCTCCCAAAAGTACACTCAAATCATGAATGCACCTGGGGATTATACATGATACTGAAGGAATGGTTTTGCTGTAGTAAGCCCAAAGAGTTGGTGACACACTGTGATTAGGTCAAATAACAAAGATTTCAAGATGCTGACAAAGTCCCTTACAAAAGAAATAAAATTGAGTTGGAAGTTCCTTCCATTCCTTGAGAAACTTGATTTTTCAGTACCTGATGTGAATGGCTTCTGAGCTACTGAGTAATTTATAGGTGACTTATGAAACATTCTCAGGCTAACTGCATGTTCTCATCAAATGGTCAAAAAAGAACAAGAAATGGAAATTATTTATTTGGTATTATGAGCAAACAGGAAAAGACAAAAGTAGTACTGAGTTTCTACCCATAGCCCCAAGGTCAGAGTTTCAGCTTTTTATTGTACTTTAGGATGAATGTGCATTAGATGTCATGTCAGTGAAACTTTTTGTACCAGGAAATGGCTGTTGGGCCCTAATTTTTGTCTGTTTGGCTTGTTCTTAGAAGGAAAGTAGTGAGAAAAGAGAGGGGTCATCAAATGAACAAAGTACAGTGTATTCACTACAGTTGTGCCAATGTGGGACCAAAGGTCAGAACAAGGGTCAAATTTTTCTCAGCATTTCTCTTCTAGCATCTGTCATGAGGTTAGCTCTCCACTGGCCCTCACTTACGCTATTACATCAGAATGTGGGTGGGCAGAACTTATCTCTAATTTACCAGTTTATTTCTAAAGAGGAGTGAAGGACTTAATATTCTGCCTGGCAACTGTCTTACTTAGGAAGTATATTTTCATTAAATAAGAAGTCAAAACAATTCTCTGACTAGGTATTACTGATAAACACAAGCATCTATGGTCCACTGTATATTCCAAACAAGAACACTATCTGAACCTCAATCATATTGGTATGCCTTTTGCTGCTTTTTCCATGGAGATAAAAACAGAAAAGCTTCGCCCAGTTGGTGCGGCTCAATGACTGAATGTGGACTCATGCACAAAGAGGTCGCCGATTCAATTCTCAGTCAGGGCACGTGCACAGGTTGCACGCTCAATTCCCAGTAGGGGGCGTGTGGGAGGCAGCGGACTGATGTTTCTCTCTCGTCGATGTTTCTATCTCTTCTCTCCCTCTCCCTTCCTCTCTCCCTAAAAATCAATAAAAACATATTAAAAAAATAGAAATGTTTCTGTAGAATAAATGTTTCTGATGCCCGCTGTATCTTTTCTTATCCTTCAAGGTTATTATGCCATGGAAGAGAAAAATATTCAAAATGGTGCCTTTGTTACCTACCTCCTTTTATCTGTGTGCATTAAAGGCTCTCAAAGTATTTAAAAAATATCAGCATATTTCTGATGTGAAATAACTGGAGTTTTGGTCTAAGAGTTAACAAGAACACTTGGGCATTTTAACTGGATAAGAAAATAGATGTTACTCAAAAAGAATGTCTTTAAAGAAATGATCCCTGTTGATAGTGTAGGTTAGTAATATCAATGGGAAGTCTTTCTAATTAATTTGTATTCTGTGTGTATCAGTATGTATGTTTCATCTGGTATTTACAATCATTACATTTAACTTCTGCTTTGAAGTTTAATAGAAAACAACACTGAATACTCCAGGTTACAGAAAGAAACAGTAGTGCTTCTTTGGTTGCTTACCATTTTGATTACTATTGCTTATAGTGCCATCTTCTTTCTCAGACTGGCTGTTACTACTATTTGAGGCAGTTGGGGGAGGGGATGGTGCTCGACTAGAAGCAGCACTTTCACTTTCATCTAGAAGTCGATCCATGTAATCCCTTAAAATTAAAATAATAAAGTAATTAACTTCTTATATTAAAAAAGCTAAAAATTAAAATGAAGTTAAATTGAGAAGGCTTTATTAACAAATACATCCTAATTTTCACTTACATTCATTCCAATGCCTCACCTATCACAACAGGATCTGAACGTTTAAATGGAAAGCTTCCTTTGGTTACATGTTTGTAGGAAAAGTTTGTAAGAATTTTTAAACTAGCTAATTTTAGAGACCTATATGCAGTTATAAAACTTTTTAAATTGTAAGCAAGTGCTCAGAGTGGCCCAACTAAAATCAGAGAATCTGCAGGTGAAGAGACAGGGATGATGTCAAACAGGAGTACACAATTTCTGAACAGACACAGATTGGAATTTTAAAGCTCCTAAAAAGTCTATTTGATGACTATGGCAACACGTGAAAGACAGAGTAGGTCCTAACAATGAACCACCTCCCTAAATCTTCCTGGATATCTTCTATATTACCTTTCTGCTAGATCTGAGCTATAAACTCACTACATTTCTGGGCTTATCTGCAGGCTTTATCTGCCAGTATCAATAAATGCTAGTTCATTTCTTCCCCAAGTCACTCCTGAATTTTATGGCATGAGAAGATGGTTGTGTAAGTGACATTGGTTTGGGGTTAAACTATCTGGGCTAAATACTTATCTCTCAGAGATATAGTATCTTTATCTATAAAATACATGTAATCATCCATGATCATATATTATCTGTCATATAGGAAGGATTGTTGTACAAGATATGTATAGGAGAGTGTTTTGTAAACTATAAAGTGCTATTAAGTCACAAGAATAAATGGGCTGTCACTTGTTTTGTGGACATTCTTTTACTGAAGACACAACACCCATTCGTTTACATAGTGTCTATGACTGCTTCTGCACAACAACAGAGCCGAGTAGTTGCTAAAAAACTTAAGGCCTGCAAATCCTAAAATATCTACTCTCTAGCTCATTTACAGAAAAAGTCTACCAATACCTTCACTGGAATAACTGTCTGAAGGGCAGGGACTTTAGTCTGTTTTGTTTACCACTGTAATTCTGGTTCCTAAATTGTGCATGGCACAGAGTAGAAGCTCAACAAAAACTTAAATACACATTTTAAAATTCCCGCAGTATAATAGAATATTAGGTCAAATGTTTTACAATTTTTTGAGCAAGATAAGGAATGTGGATAAGAAGAAAACAGTATAAGGGCTCAGAACTTTACTCAAGTTCGTGTTAAAAGTTCATAAAAAGACAATCTACTATAGCTATAATCTCAAACAACTATAGCTATAATCTCAAACTACATGATCACACTGTACCTTGGGTTATGGGATATAATAAAGGTAGGGATTTGGTACCTGACCTTAAGAAGCTTCCAACAATCTGAGGTACAAAATTAACAATCTAAGAAACATATATGATAAGCTAATCAATTTAACATTCTAGGTCTATTTTCCTCTCTATAAATGAAAGGAGTTAAATAAATTTGTGGTCTTTAAGACTTCTTTCACCTTATGCCCTTCATCTGAACTACAGAACAATTTCATTCATGTAATAAATCTGAAGCTCACAGAAACAGAAATGAGCATGATAAATGCCAATGGGAATTCAGAAGCTAAGGCTAATAGAAACAGATAATGAATGATGAGGAGCTGTGGGTAATAAATTTGGTGTGGAGGGAATGGATAATGGAGGATGCTAATGCTAACAGACAAGCAAAGGAAACTAGTGTTAACTGGATATCAAAGTTATTTTAAATTTCTGAATACATCAATGATATTGTGAAAGAATTATTATTGTTCCTTAATGATTAATGGCATCCAGAATGCTTAAAGGAAGAAGTGTCAGGCAGACCACCCAGGAGGGTGGAGCAGCATTCAGATAACCAAAGTTATGCCGAGTTAATTTTTACTTTAAAAAAGATAAATAAATTAAATGCAAGGCTGTTATAGCCAAACCTCCAATTTGTACATGGCTACCAATTTTTCCAAGTAGTGAAGAAAGAAATCTATATTAGAATCTTTCAAAGGCTATTTATAGGGAGAGAGCAGCAAATGTAGTTCATTCTGGTGAACAAATTCAAGACAACAATGTAACAGAAAAATGAACAAATAACTTTCAGAAAAATGTGCTCTAACTATGAATTTTGACTAAAAAGAAAGATGAAAAATTCATTCAAATTTCTGTCTAAAGGCATTAATATGATGTTTTGTGCAGTCACTTAAAATGCAACTATTAATAGAAAGCAAACTGGAAAAAATCAGTCTGGAAGCAAACTGGAAAAATATCTATGCTTACAGAAAACCACAATTTCTCCCCATCTAGAAAATAATGTACAGTCTGATCATGGCTTTTATAGAAGATGTAACAGCTAAAAACAGATGAATATGAGTAAAAAAATTATAATTCAGTTAAAAAAAAAAACTTTATGAAAGACCCAAAGGGGATATAACCAAAGCCTATAAAACCGTATCTTGACTAGGGGAGCAAAAATATTTGTTCACTTCATACCATTATACCAGGGGACCACTGTTAACTCAAAGCCTAAGAAAAGAGAAGTTATTGGATTACTTTTAACTGTGGCTACTCTGCCTACAGAATAATTAAAACGTAAGAGGAATTAAGGTGACAGATATAAATATCTTCAAAAAGTTTTCACAAGCACCCTGGCTGGTTTGGCTCAGCGGTTAGAACGTCGGCCTGCGGTCCAGAGAGACCAGGGTTCAGTTCCCGCTAAGGGTGCGTACCTCAGTTGGAGTTTGTCCCTGGCCCTGGTTGGGACCTTGCAGGAGGCAGCCACTGAATGTGTCCCTTTCACGTTGATGTTTCTTTCTCTCTTCCTCTCTCTCCCTCCTACTCTATCTGAACAAAAAAATGTCCTTGGCCCTGGCCGGTTTGGCTCAGCAGTTAGAGCGTCGGCCTGCGGTCCGGAGAGACCTGGGTTCGGTTCCCGCTAAGGGCACATACCTCGGTTGCAGTTTGTCCCCGGCCCTGGTCGGTCGTGCGGGTGGCAGCCACTCGATGTGTTCCTTTCACGTTGATGTTTCTCTCTCTCTCTCTGTTCCTCTCTCTCTCTCTGTTCCTCTCTCTCCCTCCCACTCTACCTGAACAAAAAATGGAAAAATGTCCTCGGGTGAGGATTAAAAAAAAAAAATGTCCTTGGGTGAGGATAAAATAAATAAATAAAAAATAAAATGTTTTTATTTAAAAAAAAAAAGTTTTCACAAGCTATGGAGAGATTATTAAGAGTCTAAAACGTTTGGCAGCACATCCCTACCTAACCTATAGAGCTTGACACCACAGAGGGCCAGCTAAGCCAGCCCACAACACCTCCCTTGGTGATGTTTTCTGAAAGAGAAAACTGGATAAACCATGTCTGACCCAGCATGACAATTCCTATGTTTTTACTGATGACAACAGACTGCCTGTAGTTTGTGTGTGAATATTATTTCTGAAATGGGTGGAAAAAAATGAAAGATATTACTACTGCTTTTCCCTACAGAATAGCTGTGACCATTTTAAGATACATTGTGAAAACTAGATAGCTCTATATCTAGTTCTACAGCATGCCTCAACACTACCAATACATTATATAATCTAGAAAAAAATTTTAAATGTATAACATTAAACAATTAGACAAAATTTGGAATCCTGTCATTATGAAATTCTACTTTAGATATCAGGAGCTTTAAATAAAGGGGCAGAGGCACAGAGACCAATGCACCCATGATTTTCAGGGGCAATATAATCATTTATTCCCTTTTAGATAAATTTCCTTTTGACTTTAGAGTGTTTGATCCTCTAGCAAAGTGACCAGCAGAGATACCTGTAAATGAACATGACCAAGAAACAGTCCAGCCTACGAGTTTCTAAAGCACAATCAAATATGCATACAAGCACATCTTTTGAAGACAGATGTTGGATGGCCTGACCAAATGAAGTCAAATTTAACATTTTTATTCCATACACATTAGGGAATAATCAGGAATGGTATGGTAACATTAAGTCCACTGTGACAATTGACCAACATTTTAGAGCAACTCATGTAAGAAAACAGGCTCAATACTCCATGTCAGCAATTTCCAACCTGTGTAATGCAAGATTTTAAAACATGCAATACCTATTTGTCAGGGGCACTGACCTATTTTCCCTTAGATTGTCAAATAAAAAAAAAAAAAGAGAACAGCCAACACAACAACAGCCATCTAGTATGAATGTATCCAAGGTACACCTAATTTTTTTTCAGACTGGCAAAAAATACATTTTTTGGAATGGCAGAATGTAATTAGTTTACATGTGCCATGAGATGAAAAAGATTGAAAATCACTCCTCTATGTACTTAAGTAACAAATTACTAGTGGCAGGGGGGCAGTGTTTCATTCTAAAACTAGAATGACTGAGTAGGTTAAGAGAATTTGGTGGGGTGGGGACTGGATTAGACATACAGGCATTTTGCATAAAGAGTGGATATAATAACCCCTACTCCCTGTATCATTGAGAGTGAGCTAAAATCACATCACTAATTATTAAATTATTCCCGTTACAGGTAAGGTGTCAGAAAATCTAGGAAAATGTGCACACATTCTTTCCTCTATAAAAAACACTCTAACAGCCCGGCCGGTGTGGCTCAGTGGTTGAGCATCAACCAATGCACCAAGAGGTCACCAGTTTGATTACCAGTCGGGGCACATGCCCAGGTTGTGGGCCAGATCCCCAGTGGGGGCGCGCATGCAGGAGACAGTCAATCGATGTTCTCGTTCATTGATATTTCGCTCTCTCTCTCTCGCTCTCTCTCTCTAAAAGTCAATAAAGAAAAAAAAAATGTGATTCTATTTACATGACATTAAAAAAACAAAAATACTGTAACAAAAAAGAAAATGCAATTTGACTTGTTTTATTATATATCCCTATGTCTTTTCCCTTTTATATCACTGATACTCAAATCTTATTTTGGTTTCCTGGATCAAAAGTAGATTAGACAAAGAAAAAAATATTAATTTCACTTCCTCTTTAAAGTACCTCTATTAGGCATATGATCCTGTTAGTTTGAGAAAACAGTCTCTTTTTTCTATTCTCACAGTGTTATTAGATTATAGCTATACATGCTTATACTGAATGGAACAGAATTTAACAAACACATGCTTTCATAGCTGTTCTGAGATCCATTTCCTCTCAGGAATCCTACTGAAAACATATACTCTAACATTTGCTTTGATAAATCTATTGCCTCAAATAATATAAACTGTAGTTTACAATGTTTGATAAGACACTGAAAAGACCAAATGTCCGATAGTCAGGTCAATAATGGATAAATTTAAACTAAACTCTTACTAAAAATTGTAATTTTCTAAAAAAAAAAAAAAGCTTAGTAAAGTCCTGGCTGGGTAGCTCAGTTGGTTAGAGTGATGTCCTGACATGCCAAGGTTACGAATTTGATCCCCAGTCAGGGCACATATAAGAATCAATCAATGAATGCATAAATAAGTGGAACAGCAAATCGATGTTTCATTCTCTAAAGCAAAAAACAAACAAAAAAACCCCTAAACAAACAGAAAAGCTTAGTGAAAACACGTAACACGGAAGAAAGTACAAACTCACGTTACACCAGGATGAAGATTGTATTTCTTTTTTCCAAATCGCGTTTGCTGAGCAAAGAAATCATAACGTTCAGATTTTTTCCACATATAATAGAATGCTACACATTCACCAACTGACCTCGTTCGAACCTATAAAAAAACAAACAGTTGTTTTTAAGAGTCATTTCCTTCTTAAAGGAGTTACTTCATAAAACATATCTGAAGTTTGAAAACAAATTTAGCTGGTCCTTAGGTAATATTTAATACTAGGTATAAAATACAACACTGTTAAAAACTCTTCTTTCTAGACTCTCATTAAGAGAAATAATACACTGGCAACAGGTCTTCAGATATTTGACATTATGCTTTTATTTTATTTTATTTTTATTTATTTATTTATTTTTTTTATCCTCACCCGAGGACATTTTTCCATTTTTTGTTCAGGTAGAGTGGGAGGGAGAGAGAGGAACAGAGATAGAGAGAGAGAAACATCGATGTGAAAGGAACACATCGAGTGGCTGCCACCCGCACGACTGAGCAGCCGGGGACAAACTGCAACCGAGGTACGTGCCCTTAGCGGGAACTGAACCCGGGTCTCTCAGGACCGCAGGCCGACGCTCTAACCGCTAAGCCAAACCGGCCAGGGCTAACATTATGCTTTTAAAAGGCTATCATCTTAATTTACTATAAAAATAAGTACTTCTCGTCAGGCAGTAGATTGAGTATCCTTCCATGGACTGAGAGGTCTCAGTCCAATTCCCAGTAGTCAGAGCATGTGCCCGTGTTTTGGGCTCGATCCCCAGTAGGCAGCATGCAGGAGGCAGCCAATTGATGTTTCTCTCTCCCTCTCCCTTTCTCTCTAAAATTAATAAAAACACTTTTTTAAAAAAAAGTACTTCTCTACTAAAAGTTTGAGTTAAAATTAATGTTATAAACAGTTTGCAAACACTTTCCCAGTAGTGATCCAGACTCAAACTATTTTACTTCCTAGAAAGACAGAAAATCTGCAGTGAGTTAAAAGCCATTATAATAATGCTAATCTAATGCTTTGCTTACTAAGTTACTTCAGTGATTACTGTGCTGTACCGATTTGTGTAACTAAATGGGTTCACCTTACATAATGTTCAACACTATGAGATTGGTAAATGATTCTGAGAAAATTCTGTTTTGCTACTTGGCTTGGAGAGCTGGAAGGGTTGATGTGTATAATAAAACACTGCGAATTTAAAATGAAAAAAAAAAAAAGATATCTGCATAAATGTTTGGGATGCAAAACAATATTACTTTAACCCATAAATTTCTATCTTGAAGTAGGTATCTTGTGGGATGGACTGTACCTGAAATCAATTTGATGACAAACTTATTTCATTACCTGACACATATTTTTCTTTTTTCCCCTTTGCTTGCACTTTACAACTCTGGCCTATGTTGCTCTAAAGCTGAAAGCTATTGGGACTCAAAACCAAACAAACAAAAATCACCTTTCGTGCTCCTTTTTGCCTCCTTTAGAATCTTATTTCTAGATAGATACAAGCCAAGTCAATTGTACTTTTCTAAAAGTAAAAATTGAAAAGACATCTGGGGGTGTGCAAATTTAATATTATGAAAAACCTCAATAAAAGCAGCCTGCATAACAGAACTTATAATTAAGATCCAAACTTCAATTCCAGGTGTAAAAACAAAGTGTTAATGTTTTCACTTGACCATTCTTCTCCCTCTTAAAGAATACTATCTTCCCTTTGTTCACTAGAATATCTAATATATTAGGTACATAGGTCAGCTGATTTTTGTAACAGTGAAATATCACCGTCCCAAATGTTCATAAATAAATCAAGGCTTGTATTCAGTATTATGTCAAAACTATTTTGGCTAGTAGCTTCAAATCACCTAGTAAGTTCTTAATCCTTCAAAAAAAAAAGGGGGGGGGGATTTCTGGGGGTGTGTTGCTGCTTCTAGTTATATCAGATTATTATTCCAGGGGTCTCCTCCATAAGTAATCCAGTATGGTTTGATCAAAAGTGTTTACATTCAAGAAGAGCCCTGGCCGGTTTGGCTCAGCAGTTAGAGCGTTGGCCTGCGGTCCCGAGAGATCCGGGTTTGGTTCCCACTAAGGGCACGTACCTCAGTTGCAGTTTGTCCCTGGCCCTGGTTGGGTTGTGCGGGTGGCAACTACTCGATGTGTCCCTTTGACGTCTATGTTTCTCTCTCTCTCTCTCCCCCTCCCACTCTGAACAAAATATCAAAAAATGTCCTCGAGTGAGGATAAAAAAAAAAAATTCAAGCAGAAATGCTAGGAAACTGTTACCTAAAATGTCCCTTCAACCATGAAACTGTATGTTTTTTTACATTCAGAAACATACATGACTAGTCATTAGCCAAATGCATTCCTTTCATAGCATTACTCACTGTATTAGAGGTTACTGATTTGGATACAACATTAAGGAGTATAAATAAATTTTTTAAAAACAATGCTAAGACTAAAAATTTTTCTGTTAGTTATGTCTGATGTCATATATCAAAATGCAACAAGACAATCAAAAGAAAAATAAACTCAAAAGATTTATAAGCAACTATTTTATTTATGAAACATAAAATAACCATTAAATATGTGTTGAAACAAATCAACCGAACACCATCCAATCACATCCAGAGGAATATAAAAGGAGAATGTAGTGACAGATTATATTTAGAGTCTCAGACATAAGCCCAGATAAACTTTTAACATCATCCTAGATAAGCCATCACACAAGACTTAGCTGCTATATTCAAGGAAACATGTAAAGCCAAGCTCTCTGTCACTTAGTATTTGCTAAGAATGTAATATTTATAAGCCTGGAAATTACTTAATTTCCCACATTTAAATTCTCAGATTTTAATTTTGCCAGTCTTAACTCCCCAGAGGAACAGAACATTTTCCAAATTTATATAATTGTGTAGTTACTATTAAAAATCTTACCTGATTTCAGCTGCAAGAGAATTAAGCCTAAATCTGCAAGAAATTATGAAGTTCTTTTGTGTATACATTGTATAACTGATATTATAATATGGAATGAAGAGCATGTTAAATAAAATTGTCAAATTATAAAAATATATAATACAAAGGCTGAGTTGTTGAGATATTCTTCTGGATAGTTAAATCCTAATTAAAACCAAATTAAATACTAAACATCTGATTTTAGACCAGTCAGGACTTAAGCAAATGTAAAAAATATTTTAATTATAAATAATTCCATGTTAAAAATGCTTTAAAGTTTCAAAATTATTTTGAAGACCCTCCTTTAAAAAAAAAAATTTCACAAGTTGTGGAAAATAGCTTTAAATAATTACATTGTACATACACATCCCACCCAGAAGTTGATGAACATATTTGCAAATGAGTCCAATATAAAGGCTGCCAATGTCATGCACTGAAAACAGTCACCTGGCAAATATACTAATATATTAAAATTTCATTAAGAACATTAGAAAATAATAAAGATATAAGATGAACTGGACTAAATTTCTTTTTGTAAAAGAGAGAACATATACCATCACTTACTTTATTAGCCTGAATCAAATGAAAATCCTTTCCATAGGCCTTCAGCCCTTGTTCAAAATTTCTACACTCTTCTTCTGTCCAAACAGATAATTCCTCTGACAAAAAGGAGGGAAAAACGGTTAAGCAATATTTCCCTCAATCTTGTATATAACAAGCAAAACTGCAAATAAAAACAAAACTTTCTGGTCACAATAAAGAATTTTATCCCTAAGTTCTATGTACTGATGGCTACAAACAATAAAGTGACAAAAACTCCCTATTAATAAAATTTTGGATGATACCCTCTCTCCAACCTCAACTTGGGCCACTTTCTCCTTTATTCTTTATGATCCAACTATACTAGCCACCTTTCAATTCTTTAAATTTATGTTCTTTCTTTAGACTCTGTGCACGCTGTTCCTTTTGCCTAGAACTATTTCCTGCCTCCTACATCCCAGCAAAAATATCACTTTGTTCTAGAAGCTTTCCCTAGCAGCTTCACCCTTTCCCTGGGACTTAAAAATAAGTCTGAAATGCACCCTCTAATTCTCCTTTAAAAATTCATTACTATTTTTCAGCTTCCCTACCTAGTCTCTAAGCAATATGAGGGCAGGGACTTTGTTTATAGTTATATCCTTAGAACAATTTTTATTGAATGAATGAATCTTTCATTTGTTATGTAATAATATATAAATAGTATTCTTAGTGAAACAGGGTGGTAGCCAGTTGAGAGTAAAAAATATCCCAAAACCCAGATTTTAGTTATGACTATTTATGAATAATGTTTGCCTTGGCTAAGTTACTTCAGTTCAGAGACCTCATTCTTATCCGTTTTAAAGTGAAGGTAATATCTGTTACTTTACTAAGCTCATAGGTCTATCGCCAAGATAAAATAAAATGTTTATAAAAATATGTTGAAATTCAAAGGCATTCTATATTTTCTCTAAAGAAAGGAGAGCTTTAAATCCCATTTCCCATAATACCTTGTTTTAAGGATGTACAAAAGTAGGTTTACAGTTGTGAGTACAAAACACAGTTTATTCCTGTATTATTACAACATAATCATAACCTGCATGCCTTTTCCCATATGAACTAGAAATGTACTTTTGCCCACCCCCATAAAATACTTGTGTTATACACAAGTTATTTGCTATTCAACAAATTATTTACTAAATTCAGAAAGATCAATAGTATTAAATATAAAACACAGCTAGGTAGACTGTAGACTGAAGAGCTTAAGTTTTAAATTTCTACTACATCATAAAAACAAATAAAATTGAATATTTATGCTTACCTCTAGCGGCTTTTACATTAAATCTTAATCTTCTCAATGCTTCTTCTGTGTCAAAACTGCATTTAACCAATTCATATAATGCCTAGAAAAATAAAGAGCTTCAATATGTGACCCAGACTATAAAGAGTGCAAAGATACAATTTCTTAAGAATAAAGACTTTTCCAGAATCCAGGGTTTTCATCCCTTCTGGAAGACAAATAATTTTAATGAATTCAACATATGGAATATTACAGAGAAACAAACATAAATTCAATCCTGATAATTAACTGCCTCTAAGTATTTAGAAAATAAACACTCTAACTTGGCTGCCACAGTATCACAGGAATTTAGAAATGAACAATTATTTTATAAAGATCACAAATTCCTTCTTTTTGGCCTTTTGGGCTTCCTATTCTAAGACAACTTTAAACAAATCAGAAAAGAAAAACATTAATTTAAAAAGGTAAAAAAAAAAAATAATAATGCTTTCATTACTTGCAGTAGGCACTAATCTATCATGTGCATAATATTATATCAGTTGTGTACAGTATTCCTCACTTGATGAGATCCAGATTCTCAGGGATATCCAAAGGAACTTTTCTCAAAATGCCTAATGAAAAATACATACAGCGCCCTAGCCGGTTTGGCTCAGCGGTTGGAGCGTCGGCCTGCAGTACAGAGAGACTCGGGTTCAGTTCCCGCTAAGGGCATGTACCTCGGTTGCAGTTTGTCCCCGGCTCTGGTTGGTCGTGCGGGTGGCAGCCACTCGATGTGTCCCTTCACATCGATGTTTCTCTCTCTCTCTCTCTTCCTCTCTCTCCCTCCCACTCTATCTGAACAAAAAATGGAAAAATGTCCTCGGGTGAGGATAAAAAAAAAGAAAAATACATACAGGTAAACTGAGATATCAAGATTTTTGTTGGAGCTGAAATCATACCCATGAAGTGAGTGTGTTAACACTAGGATCTCATTTTGACTATAACCTAAGATTCCGTTAACATTATAGAAATTTTGGTGGATAGAATAACAACACTGAATGTGACAGCATTTATATTTTAAAATGTATACGATTAATTTATTTGGGGGAAATTATAAGTTATTTCTTACTCATGTACCTGTTCATTATCTTTTATGTGAGATCCTTCAGGAATTGCTTCTACACCTTTCTCATCACCTGTTCTTCTAGATGCATCCTTAAGAAATACAATCACTTTATCTTCTGGTAAGTACTCAGGGTCCCACAGGAGCTGATCATCATTTTCATATACTAAAATAGTAAAACACAGTATTTTTTAAAATGCTAAATATTGAGAGTGTGTGTTAAAACATATCATTGAACAAATAACTCATACTTAGAGCTAAAATGATAAAAATGAAAAGGTAAACTGCGGTCCTACTACTTGCCTGACCTTGCTCTTTGGCAATATACATAGCCTAAGTGAGTACGCAATCTAACCAGAGAAGTACCACTTTATGCCCCATTTGAATTCTATCTCACTTAAGCTTATTTACCAAATTCCAAATTCTCTTGGTTTGAATAGCACTATCACCACTTACCACTTATATGACCATAGGCAATTTATTTCCCTTCTCTCTGCCTCACCTGTAAAATGGGTTCAGCAACCCTAACACATAGAGTTATAAGGATTTAAAATAATTCTGACACATTTTAAGATTCAACGGCTGTTCAATATTTTTAAAAAGGGGTGTCTATAAAATCGCTCAAATGTTAATGCTGCTTATTTCTTGGTGGTAGGATTTGGATCAATTTTTTCTTCTCTATATTTTTCCATGATGCTTAAAAATGTATTATAATGAATATAAATAATTTTGATAAAAACAAGTCATTTTTTTAAGTATTTAGGTTTCATCACTAGAATTTCCATTATAGTAAGATTAAAGCCTAAATCTCATCAAAATTTATAAAGTGAAAAGGAGGAGAACCTAAGATAAGAAAGCCTTGTGGAATTCTAAATGACAGGAAGATGAAAACAGACAAAATTAAGAAGGAACAATCACAAGATAAAATATCAAAACTGTGGCACCACAGCAGCAAGGGGAAGAAAATGTTTCAAGAAGTGATAGACTGGTTAAATGCTGTTAAATGACCAGGTTGAACATTGAAAAAAGGTATGCTGGATTTACTAACAAGAAAGGAGATGTTTCAAGAACATTCTGTGCAGAGATAGAAGCCGAAGCCATGCTGAGGAGGACTGAAGAGTAAATGAAAGAGAAGAAACAAAGTGGAAAACTCTTGGAAAGTTCAGATGTGAGGAAGAATAGGGCAATAACTAAAGTACAGTGGAAGAAGTTTTTGGTTTTGTTCGCTGAATTTTAGAGATAGAGGAGACATTATCATTTACATGCCAGCTGGAAAGAGCCAGCTAGAGAAAACTACTGACCCTAAGAGAGAAAGGATTAACTGCCAGTGTCAATGTTCCTTTTGCTATGAAAATGAAATCAATAGCTAATTAAACATTTCCTATGTACCAGGCAATATGTGGTTTTCATGTACATTACCTGCCCTACCCTCCACACAAATATAGTTTAAATATTCTGTTTCCCAAAATTTATATTCCTTAAAATACAGCTCCAAGGATCATCTCTAGAAATGTTTCCTTTGTAAATTTCATTCCTTTTTTTTTTTTTTTTTTTAAATCTGCTGATAGAATCCTAGTGAAACTCTAAACTGGAAACAGAAAACTCACATGATAAAGTCAATTTGGATATACTACTGATTTCTGTTCGCTGCTCAGTCTCTTTTCGCTGAAGGGAGCAGTCTACAGTTATATTCTTGGAGTGAGGGGTAGGGGTTGGACAAGGCCTTACAAGGAAACCCTGACTCAGAAAGAGGAAGATAAAGGGTGGGTCCCTGAGTCCTCAGTGTTCCCCCAATTGGACATCTCCATATAAAGCCTCTGAAACAAGACATACTACCTGGGAGATACTTCTGGAATCATTCTGAAGTCCCAGGTAGCCAAGGATACACAGATTACCAAGAAAGCCGAGTACACAAGCATCACCAGATGGTGCCAAATGACAAAGCAGACCCCTCGAATTGTGGCTAGATAGGGTAAGCCCTGAGAATATGACACTTGTTTTTATGCAATTACAATATACTAAAAAATGACCCTGCTGTGAGAACAATTAGCATTTTCAAGAACTAATGCAGAAAGCTGAGGAACAACTACAACAAAATCATAAGCAATATGGGAAATTAATTCCCAATGAATAAATGTATACTTATCAACCTCCTATTTTTTAAAGTGTTATTCCATTTTTTAATGCCTAAATAAAAATTTTACCTAATTACTACCTATGAGGTTGAAAATGCTGATCCATAATCAGCATTATGTTGTAGTGATGAGGCTTACAACAGAAATTTCCACAATTTTAAAAGATCAGACTATAACATGAACTTTAAGTTGTTTAGCTGCACTTTTCCGGTTACACAACTTCACTTTTTAGGAAAGACCTACATTAGTACTTGTTTTTGCTAATCAACAGATATCTGAAGACAGTTTCTGCTTTAACCAAAAAATTTAGCATTTAAATGTTTTGCAGTGAGCTTTTATCTAGAGTCTGTGTACTTGAGTGGTACCACCTAGCTTCTGCCCTGGGTACTACACTCAGCATCTCAGCATCAAGCTGCCATGGATTTGTACTGTCTGTTAGTATGTGATTTATCTCTATTTTGTGCATCCATTGGCAAGATGTGTCCTAAGGTAACAGAAAAACCTCACATCATTCCTGCTTTTACGATATGTTAATGTTACTTGAGGTTTTATGTGTTATTCAGTATGATTTGGTAGATTATTTTTGGGGTCTGGGAACACTCAAAAAATGTTCCATATAAATTAATGAAGAATTCCCCCTCATAAGCATTTTTGCTTTCTTCAGTTTCAGTTCCTGTCAACCATGGTCTGAAGAGCTCTGCATAATTTACCTCACTTCATCTCATCACACAGGCACTGTATCCTCTCACAGCATCACAAGAAGGGTGATTTTGAGACCATATTCACATAGTTTTTATTATAGTATATTGTTATAATTGTTTTATTATTATTGCTGTTAATCCCCTACTGTGCCTAATTTATAAGTTAAACTTTATCGTAGGTACACATAAGTATAAGGAAAAACAAAGTATACATAGGGTTTGGAACAACTGGTTTTTCTTTGGGGGTGGTCTTGGAATGCACTGCCCTTGAATAAGGGGAGAACACTATTGTAATTGCTTCCTGGCTTTGAGCCATTATTGGCTTACAAAAGGTTTCACAGGAACGCTTTCCTTTTGGATAGTGAGGGAAATCTGTTAAATAAAATGCCTGTTTCAACAGTATTATTATCAACTAAGAATAATGCCTATGTTCAGCTTTCAGTAACTTAAATCAATTTGTCAAATGCTCATTAGAAACTATTTACTATTTGGTCCTTTGCTCTTTATTCACTGCTTCAAACTTCCTAACAATCATTTGCTGACTCTAAAAGTCATGCAAACATGAAAATTTGACTGGGAATAGCCTGAATCTGACTTTCTTTTTTCCTAAGTAGCCCATCTAAATTTTCAGTTAAATTAGCCCAGAGTTCTCAACCTTGGCACTACCGACACTTTGACTAGATAACAGTTAATGGTGGGGGTAAAGGGAGGTTCAAGGCTGTGCACTGCACTGTAGGATGTTTAACAGCACCAGTGTTCAAGTTTTGTACAAACAACAAAACCTTCTACAACTACAAAAGGATCTGCATGTGTAAGATGAAATGTGGAGAAAACTGATATAAAAGAAATGAAGACAGATTTCTAGCACTGAGTGATGTCACACTGCACATGAACTAACTGAAAACACACATACACCCACAACATTCTTTCTAGAACTCACCTGAAGTGAGTAATCTAAAACAGACTTTCAAAAAAAAATACTCAAGTATTTTGTTATTGAAAATTTAAGTGTTTATGACTTACCTTAGGACTTTAAGATAAAATAACAAAATATATCATGTAAAATTTAAGTATACAAGTTGTTTTCCCAAATTATTTTAAAAACACAAATATCAAAGTAATAAATTTTAATAATGTTGTTTCAGAAGCAAATAAGCTTTTCATATCAATTATATACTAAAAAAAAAAATTTTAGACCTGTCCAACAGCTTCCACTGATATAACTTTTAAAATTTAAATTATACAGGCTATGAAAAAGGGTACATTCAGAGTATTTATAATATGGAAAAAATAAAAAAGAAATAAAAAGTTGAGATGTTTTAAGTCATTTAATACCAAAACAAGAATTCACTTTTTTTCACTAGACTTGTATGAAAAAAAAATGGGAAAACAGAAAACCTATTTCTTCTTACAGAAATAATGCAGGCCCTCTTTCATAATTCAGTGGGGTAACATAAACTGTCATGTTCTTATCACATGGTAAAACAACAGCTCACCACTTCAAAAGCATGAACTCAGTTATTAACTAATAACCCACCTTTTTCATTTTCTTTGTATCTACAAATGCCAACTGGAATCTCTGCTTGAAACATGGAGCCCACCATAATCTCCTGTTTTAAAAATAACATAATATATTAGTTAAGGACCCTGGCCAGGTAGGTCAGTTGGTTGGAGCATTGTCCCAAAGTGCTAGGGTTGTAGATTCAATCCTGGTCAGGGCACATACAAGAATCAACCAATGAATGCACCAATAAGAGGAACAACGACAAATCAATGTCTCTCTCTCTCTCAAATTAATAAAAAAAAATTTTTTTTAATACATTAGTAAGATCTAGTAACAGATTTTATATCCATTTTCTAGCATTACCATCTTTTTGGGCAAACTGTTCCGGTTTCTGTGTCATACAACACAGATGCAACAATTACCTACCTCAGAGAAGTATTGTGAGGATGAATGAGTTAATAATAGATAGGAGCTTGGATATGATTGGATGAAAATATTAGTAATAATAATGGGGTGAAACACAATACAGACAATGGATACAAACTTTCCTTCAAAATATGGAGGAAAAAATGAATTCTTACTATTCAATTAGTAAGATAACTGCAAACACCAGAAGACAGGAAGTCAAATTCAGGTATTTTAAAAGCATCTACACTATAAACTATGGTCCCTGGATCAGCAGCATCAGTGTCACCTGGGAAACTGACTGCAACTACTCAGGGTCCTATCCTAGACCTACTGAACCAGAAACTCTGGGGATGGGACTCAGCAATTAGTGTTTTAACAAGCTATCCAGGTGATTCTGACTCTGAGAACCAGAGTTTTAAAAGAAAGGAAGTAACACAAAGTGTATAAAGCTCAGGAGAGGCCAAATGAATGGAACGCCAAACCAAATGGATAAGCAGGTCAGTGTCTGACTTTCATTAAAACAACACAAAATAAAAAAGTAACCTCTCAACACATAATTAAATCTTATTTTAGGAAATCTGGTAATAGAGATTATATAGTCAAAACACAAATTAGGGGAAACTGGCTGTTCAAAAACACACTGGAGATCACCACATGAGATTTTACAGCACACAGGGTTCAAGATTACACTCTTTTTTGTCTGGTGGCTAAAGGTTAAGAATAAATTTATTGCATTTTTAAAATAAAGACGTAGGGAGGAAAGATAAGTTGAATAACTCTTAGGACTTTCATACTAAAATAAAACAGTCTGGATGTATCATGGCCTGCTTCATTACATCCTATTCCCAAGGAAGCAACTAATACTCCCTAACAAAGAAAACTTTACCTGCGCCCTGCTCTCTCCTCTGAGCATTTTGTCCCTTCATTAAACAAATTTAAAAATAACATCAAATGAAATACTATATGAACAGCCTGGCCGGTGTGACTCAGTGGTTGAGTGCTGACCCATGCATAAAGAAGTTGCTGGTTCATTTCCCAGTCAGAGCACAAGCCCAGGTTGTGGGCCCGATGGGGGTGAGGGGCTTGCTAGAGGGGGCCAATCGATGTTCTCTCTCATTGATGTTTCTATCTCTCTCTCCCTCTCCTTTCCTCATTCTCTAAAATCAATAAAGAGAAAAACAATACTATATGAACACTCCAGATACAAAAACAGTTAATTTATGTTGGAGAAAAGCTCTATAAACTTGAATGTGTGGTGGGAAATAATAGTTTAAGATGACCAAGATTTCTAGATTTTATCATTGTAATTTCTACATGGTATAAAAATCAGAAAAAAACTGAATTAGATACCATTTCCCCAAATAGATCACACAAATATTAACTTCTGTGAACCTTATTCTGTCTTCAGACCCATCACACATTCATCACTCACCCAAATTAATTAACACATGCTATACTGGAATAGCCCTCCCTTACCATTCTAACCCAAACAGATGTCTCTCTTCTAAATGTCTTTTTGGAAACCTGTTAACAAATCAATTCTGGCTAAAGCCCCAAATCTTGGCCTGCCCAGTCCAAGTTCATTTGAATACTTCATTTTTCCTAACAGAAACTAAATATAATGTTCCTTTATTTTAATCAGCAAGGGGTCAGCTCATTTTTAAGTTTGCCCAGGCATCCCAGAACAGACAACTCTAACCAAAAAAAAAGAGAAAGCTCCAAAGTATTAACTAAATAATTAAACGATCATGACTTAAGTGCAGAAATCCCACTCAATTTGATATTCTGGGCTATTCTACATTCAAAAAAATGATGGTCTATGCACTAAATTTAAAATCAAATACAGAAAAATGAAAAACAAAAACAAAAAAACTCAATGAAGTTTTTAAGAGAAAAATCAGGTGAGCTAACAAGAATGACATAATTTTTTCTATATAAATGATTTGCTCTATGACATTTTGATATTTTCATAAATCAACAGCTTTGCGACAGCTTAAAATTAAATTTAACTACGATTAAACAATGTTATACAATTCTATAATTTAAAATTTAGGTCAATATATTATCTTTAGATGCATTTTAGAAACCAACTTATTTAATTATGCAGTTTTAGAGAAGCCCAAATCCATCTTTTTACACATTATATTTGGAATTCTAAATATCAACAATATAGGATGGAAAATTTTATAATCTAATTTTTTTTTTTTTTTAATCCTCACCAGAGGATATTTTTCCATTTTTTGTACAGATAGAGTGGGAGGGAGAGAGAGGAAGGGAGAGAGAGAGAGAGAAACATCGACGTGAAGGGACACATCGAGCGGCTGCCACCCGCACGACCAACTAGGGCCGGGGACAAACTGCAACCGAAGTACGTGCCCTTAGCGGGAACCGAACCCGGGTCTCTCCGGACCGCAGGCCGATGCTCTAACCGCTGAGCCAAACCGGCCAGGGCTATAATCTAAATTTTTAAACAGGATTTATTTAACTAATACCAAAAAGCCTCCACAAGTGCTTTCCAAGCAGTTAAAAAACAGACACACAAAACCACGTGATACTTTCTATCGGGAAACAAAAGTCTAATTCAGCACTAGTTCAGAAATTTGGATTTGTAACCTTTGTGTGCCAGCTTGTTCAACCAACAAAGGCCAACTCTTTATTTACTTTATTTTGTAAAAAGATAAAACACCTGAACATAAAAAATCTGAATATCTACCCAACATTTAAATGTCACAAAAGGACATACATCAACTTTATTAACATATATGTAGTTAGTAAAAAAGTAATTACATTTGGCTTTTTAAATATTAATTTTATCTATGGCTCCAACTACCTTTTTCCAGTCTTCTGATGGAATATAATCTTCATCTTCTTCAGATTCTTCTTCTATTTCACTATCTAGAATAAGACAATACTACTATAAAATGATTGTTTATCCTGTCCACATTGTATATTTGTATTTTATTCTAACATCTACTACAAAAATTTTTAAATATGCCCAAAGGTATTTCCAGAGTTAGGCCAAGATATTTCTAATCAAACAATATCCTATCAGTTATAAAACAAAAAACATAAAAAAGCCATAAACATTCTGGGTCAACCCCAATCTTAGACAACTGTATACTCATGAAATGATTTTCTACAAAAACTTCAAGAACAAAATTTAGAATCAAAATAATCTGTTTCTAAACCTAATTCTTCTATCAACAGCCTGGTGACAAAATAAATTATATGATCTCAATTTCTTCCTTATAAAATAAGAATATGGACAAAATAGTGGTTTCCAAACAGTGCTCCTTGAAACACCAAGAACTTTATAATAGCCCATTGGGGGAAGCACGTGAAGGGAGGGTATGTATGAAGTTCTCCATTTTCCCTGACGTCTGTTTTATTCAGAGCAGGCAAGATGCTGTGTGTTCACATTTTGGAGTAAGAATATATTTATAGAAAGGGGTGAGAAATCTGAAAACTATTAGATTCTCAGCATCTTCCTAACTCTTAAATGGTACACAAAGTTCAAGAGTAACATTATATATAGAAATTAATTCTACCTATGGAGAAACTAAGATAGGTAGTGTATGTACAGCTTTCATGCATACATTACAACTGAAATACCAGATTAAATACTGTTTCAAGAGGCAGTCACTTAGCACCCCATTTTGTCAATGGATCTGTTCTCTATTTAACTAAGAGATTAATACATTTCCCCAAACTTAAAATTAACACAATTATTTCAGTAACTAATCTCTTCTTATATGGCTACACTTTTCAACTGAAACATACTATAGATCAAAACTCAGTAAAATTATTAGTAGCGTAACTACATTCACTTCTAAACTAAACGTGTAACAGAAATCATTCATACAAAGCAATAGCCATATTTAATCAGTTACTACATTACAACATTTCATGAGAGGTTCTTATTCTTCAAGTGTTTTTCTTCCTTTTAAAGTACATAAATTTAGACCAAAAATTTAAACTAATAACACTAATGGTTGACTTTTTATAAAAGAGCTGACTTCTAGAGTAAAGATTACTGCTTAGAATTAATATTGTAGAGTAGATGAAGAAAATATTCAAGATACATGCATTAAATGCTGTCCTGACTACTGGTCATCTCTGACTAGACAATAATTGTAGAAAAATCCAGAAAGTTCTTTCTACATATAATGTATTTCTACCTCAAGAGTCAACTACTTCTTCAGATCTAGGAGGCACTGATTAGAGAAAGCAATGCTTATGAATATATCTTAAAGAGACTAAGAGGCAAAATAAAAACTGAGCAAAAAACTAGGAGAAATAAAATAAAAGATGATCATGGCCTGGCTGGTGTGGCTCAGTGAATTGAGCATCATCCCATGGACTGAGAAGTCCCACTTCAATTTCCAGTCAGGGCACATGCCTGGGTTGAAGGCACGATCCCCAGTGGGGGGGCGTGCAGAAGGCAGCTGATCAGTGTTTCTCTCTCATATCAATGTTTATCCCTCACCCCTTCCTCTCTCTCTAAAAAAATAAATAAAATAAAAAAATCAATGAAAAGGATCAGGAAGAAAAAAAGGAACACTCAAAACCAAGTGACACAAAATTACTGTAGTATATTCATGAACAGGACAGAGCACTGCAAAATAATAACCTAGAATAAAATCCCATCACTGGTGAGTGAGATTTCAGAGTAAATAAATTTAAGTAGAGCAATGAAAAAAAATACTAGAATTTTAGGCCATATATTAAAATAGTAAAAATTATACCCCAACTATAGCAACCAGTAACACTTACTTGTATCAAAATATTTACATCGACGTGGGCGGATTATTTCCTGTGCATCTTGAGAAACAACAGACTGTGATGGATCATCATTGGAAGACTGAGTTTCATCCTCTTGACCTGATGAATCCTTTATATTCTCTTCCTGTAGAATCATAAATTAAATTGCTTTAAGATGTAAAAAAAAAACAAAAACAAAAAAACCTGTTGGAAATAAAAGGTTAAAGTATTCCAAATACAACTAGAAGCCTAAAATAAATACATTAACTGTAGCATGGTGTCCTGGGTCAAATCCTAGAACAGGAAAAAGAACATTAATGGAAAAAATGATGAAATCTGAACTGTCTATAGTTTAACGAAATAGTATAGTATCAGTGTTGATTTCTTAGTTTTGATAAATATACCATGGTTATGTAAGATGTTAACATAAGGGAAAGTTTTGGGTGAAGAGTACATAGAAAGTCTCTACAATATTAGAACCTCTTCTGTAAATCTAAAATTATTTCAAAACAAGTAAGAAAAATGAATACGGAACTACCAATTAGCCTTTATTACTTAAAAACATAGCCCTGGCCGGTTTGGCTCAGCGGTTGGAGCGTCGGCCTGCGGTACAGAGAGGCCTGGGTTCGGTTCCCGCTAAGGGCATGTGCCTCGGTTGCAGTTTGTCCCCGGCCCTGGTTGGTCGTGCGGGTGGCAGCCACTCGATGTGTCCCTTCACATCGATGTTTCTCTCTCTCTCTCTCTCCCTCCCGCTCTATCTGAACAAAAAATGGAAAAATGTCCTCGGGTGAGGATAAAAACAACAACAACAACAAAAAAAAACAAAAAAAAACATAGTGCCTTTGCCCTGGCCTGTTTGGCTCAGCAGTTAGAGTATCGACCTGCAGTCCAGAGAGACCCGGGTTTGGTTTCCGCTAACGGCACGTACCTCAGTTGCAGTTTGTCCCCAGCCCCGGTTGGGTCACGCGGGTGGCAACCACTCGATGTGTCCCTTACACGTCGATGTTTCTCTCTCTCTCTCTTCCTCTCTCCCTCCCACTCTATCTGAACAAAAAATAAAAAATGAAAAAATGTCCCTGGGTGAGGATAAAAAAAACACAAAAAACATAGTGCTTTTAAAAAGTTGGCACAAATTTATTTAGAATGGGCACAGAAAAGAAATCTGAATAACAGAGGTGTTATTACCCCCTCAGGACTGGATTACAGGGGACTTCCAATTTTTATTACATATTTCTATATTTTAATCTTTAATATTTAAATGTACTACTTTTGTTAATCCTCATCCAAGGATATTTTTCCATTAATATTTTTTTTAGATAGAGTGGAAAGGAAGGAAGGGGAAAGACAGAGAGAAACATAGATGTGAAAGAGACACACTGATTGGTTGCCTCTCACACAACCCCGACAGGGGCTGGGGACCTACAACCCAGGTATGTGCCCTTGACTGGGAACTGAACCCACAGTAACCGCTGAGCCAAACCAGCCAGAGATAAATGTATCACTTTTAAAATCAGAAAGAGTAAAGACAGATTATAAAAATAAGCAGTCAAAAATTATAACTCTGACCATAAGAACTACAATCTTAAAAATCTGTGTATAAGCTTACTTTATTTTCTCCACTACAGCCACTATTATCATCATTATCAGCATCTTCATCATCTTCACCTTCCTCCTCCTCTTCTTCCTCCTCCTCATCTTCTTCAGGTAGTCGACTAGTACTATCATAACCATAAAGCCTGAGAAGTTCATGAATTGGCATGTCGCTTTCCTAAATAGACCAAAATAAGAAGTTAATTTCTGAATATTTCATATTCCTATACCTCACAAATCTATAGAGTATTCATTCCATACAGAAGAATGCTCTAATACCTGTGTTAAGAATTCTCAAATCATAAGTGAAACTGAAAATAATTCTGAAAGCTAAGAAAACTCTAGTCTCCTAAGAATTTAAGAGACTGACCAATTCAAATGCTAACGACAAAATCTTTAAGTATAATAAAAAGAAACACTGGTTTAGAACTGTTCTTTTGTGCAATCAATTCAGTTAATGCACACCATCAGAAATACTATGAGTACCATACATAAGGTGGAAGTGGGAAAATAGAATAATTAGAAAATAAACAGACTGTAAACTAAGTTAACAAATCCAGAAAGGGAGATGAAATTCACAGCCCACCCAAAACAAATACATTAAAAAAAAAACCCAAAAAAACAGCAATGATATAGTACAGAAATGAAACTGAACTGCATTAGCCATATATTCTTTTCTAGTGTAATCTATAATTACATATAAAACCATCTCATGCAATCCTTACTATATACCTATAAAATTGTTACATTATCTCCATTTTATAGATGAGAAAACTGAGGCTGACAGATTAAGCCATTTCTCCCAAAAAATCATGAGTTACAACTAGAATAGCCAGATTCCAAGTCTAATTCCAAAAGTTCATACCCTTATCAGTACACCATGCTGCCTTAGCCAGAGACCTCCCCCAAACCCCACAAAAACATACCCTGAGGGTGAACTGAAGAAATATCCACGTTAGTAAAATAAAATCAGCTTCCTGCAGAAGGTACTCACTTTAATCAGTAATCGATATTATTACTGACATGAAGTATAAGGAAACATGACAGAATTCTGATTATAAAAAAATCTAGCCCTGGCCGGTTTGGTTTAGTAGTTAGAGAGTCAACCCACAGACCAAAGAGTTGCAGGTTCGATTCCGGTCAAGGACATGTACCTTGGTTGCAGTTTGGTCCCCGGCCCTGGTCAGGGTCGTGCAGGAAGCAGCCAGCCAACTGATGTGTTTCTCTCACATCGATGTTTCTTTCTCTCTCCCCCTCCCACTCTATCTGAAGATAAATGAAAAAATATCCTCAGGTGAAGATTAAAAAAAAAAAATTAACCCAATCACCTGAACATATCACTCACACACACACACACACACCCCCTCTCCCCACCCTTAACACAAAGAATCAGTTTAGAAACAAGCAAAAGGGTAATCATGAAACAAGACATGTTCTATATTTTTCCAGCAGTCTTATAATCTTATTTATGGGCAGAAATAAGTCTGGCCCATGTGTTGAATTAAATATATTGCTGTGGTGGAGATGGGTACATCGAACTGGATGATATAACCCGATGACACTAGTCACTTAGGTCATACAATTAACTCCCATCACTCAGAATTCATATGCAAGAAACAACTAATGATTATAATTTTTAAAAGTTGTCTTACAAATATAGGAAGAAAATGTTTAACATTTCTGTTTCACATCATAAATAGTTATAAGTCAGTTTGTGAATGTTTCTGAAAGAGAAATCAATTCTGAAATCCATGACTAATGATCTGATACAGCCACAGCCTGAAAAGTAGTAACTATGTCAGGCAAGGTATTACCACCCCAGCTGAATGACCAGCTGGCATACTTAACTGACATCTCATATTGTGATTCTCAAAGTGAAATAGCAGTGTTTGAGGTGTTCAAGGATCTAGTCCATGAGGATAGCTGGTCCATGTACCATGGATCTGGTACAAGAAACAGAAAGTTGGGAATTGGTAGTCAAGATTTGAGAAGTAAAACAGACTTCAAAATCAAGAAAAAAATACAGTAAGAGAAAGATAAAAGAAAAGATTGGTTTTATACACAATAACGAATAGCTGCAATAAAGTATCCTCTATGTGCCAAGCATTTCAAGGAGAGAAATAAAAGCAGTGAGAATATTACACAATCTTATTAGATCTTTAAAAGTACAAGATGGTAGTGTTTACTACTTTTATTCATACATATTCAGAAAACCAAGCAGAGAGAAACATCATGCACTGACAGAGACTTTACTATAATACCTAGACCTTCTAATCTCAGTTCATACTTTGCATAAATTCATTCTGCACCACAAATTAGAAGCAGGTTTAACAACTGAATCACTACTATGAAAAAGAGCCACTGAAGTCACTAGTATGAGTAAGTGCCAAACCAGGAAAAACACTTTTGTTACCTGCAGGACAAGGAGTCCTCAGTTACTATCTTTTTGAAGAAAAGATTTCAATCAAGAGACAGTGTCAAAAAGCAAGAAAATTTATTGGCCACAGCAAAAACATACTTAGGACAGTGAAACAAGGAAGAGCATAGAAGAAGCAACATGAAAGCCTAGGATGGGCTGCTTTAGCTCATCACTGGGAAGTCAGAGAGAAGGGAGCCTTGGTGACAGGTTCAGGGAGTTTGTCTGGGACCAATTGCTGCTGCCCCATGCCCAGGTTGCAAGCCTTCTGGGGTCCCTTAGAGTTTAGGAGATGCATGCCTGTGGGGGAAGAAAGGTGCCTGGTCAGTGTGGCTCAGTGGCTGAGCGTTGACCCATGCACCAAGAGGTCACTGGTTCCATTCCCAGTCAGGGCACATGCCCAAGTTGTGGGCCCGATCCCCAGTGGAGAGCATGCAGGAGGCAGCCAATCCATGTTCTTTCTCATTGATGTTTCTCTCTCTCCTTCTCCTCCCTCCCTCCCTTCCTTCCCCTCTCCCCTGCCCCTCCCCCCCCCTCTAACATCAATAAAGGAAAAAAAAATTTTTAAAAGAAAGGGGACAGGGAAGCATGGGCGTGCTCCCTGGAAGAACAAGAGAAAGCTGGGAAGGCTGGGTGTTTAGCCCTGGACGGTTTGGCTCAGCAGTTAAGAGCATCAGCCCAAGAACCAACGAGTTTCAGGTTCAATTCCAGTCAAGGGCACATACCTTGGTTGCAGTTCAATCCCCGGCCCTGGTCAGGGTCATGCAGAAGGCAATCAATCGCTGTGCCTGTGTGTGTGTGTGTGTGTGTGTGTGTGTGTGTATGTCTCTCTCCCCCTCCCTCCCTCCCTCCCACTCTATCTGAAAAATCAATGAAAAAATATCCTCAGGTGAGGATTAAAAAATAATAGGGAGGGAGGGAGTGGATGGAGGGGAGGGGAGGGAGGCTGAGTGTTTAGGACAGAAAGAATATTCATCAGCTTTATGCTGATGTACCAAAATGAGATTTATTCTCTTAATTTGTCTGTCCTTAGGTGTGGTTGACAAATGGCACTAATTATATTTCTGCTATCTGTCTCCCTGAGCAGGGTTAATTTAAGTTACTTACCCTCTGGTTGGGGAGGAGAAGTGTAAACCATTTACCCTTAAGTGTCCTTGGTTTAGGAAAGATAGGATTTACTAGGTGGCTACAAACTGCTATTTAACTGTCTCAGTTTCCCTATTCCGCTTGTTCTGGAATTTTCCTAGCTTACTATTTTATAACACGTCAGTGTAAGTTTGCAACTAACATTTACATGAACCTCTAGAATTCATGATGAGTTTGTTTCACATTTATTTCATTTTTAAAACTATCCTAATATATGCTAGTATTACCTCTACTTTTTTTACAACTGAGTTATCTGATACTTTGAGAAATAACACAAAACAGGCTGATAACCAAATAAATGTCTCTACTCTTTGGTTAGTCTTATTCAAAGGCAACAGAATCACCTTGAGAGTTTATTAAAACACTGTTGAGTCCCACCCTAGAGTTTCTGGTCTAGTAAAGCTGAGGCGGGGCCTGAGTGTCTGCATTTTTTAAAGTAAGTGCCAGGTAATTACTGATGCTGCTGGTATGAGATCAGTTTAAGAACCATTTATCTCACAGTTCTAAGATAAAATACCAGCAAATCAGCCTTTCCAGTGGGAGGTAATAAAGACTGATCACTATCTTTATAATAAAGCGTAGGTATTATACTAACTGCATGGAAAGAAATTTTTATTTTTTAAATCACTATCAGGAACGTGGAATGTCTGACATTCAAGGTTGAGATTTTATCCTCTTGGATACATATTTGAGAAATGTGACTCACTTTATAAAAAATTATTTCTCTAAGAAAAATTTACTAACACCTCCTATATTGACTAGGCAGAGACCCGAGGAGAGTCAGAAGTGGCTGAACACAGTTCATTTGAAGAACTGCTTTAATTTGCAAAAAACAGTAATAGAAAAAAGTCAATCAAGTCAGAAAAAACCACACAAGTATAGAAACAAAAATTAGTAAGTGGGTTACCGTGATTAGAGCAGAGGGTATCTATAATAATTTTAAAGAAAGTTAGGGCTAATATTTTAAACTATTTTCTCTAGTTTTGAAAGGGGTAGGAGAGAATAGAGTAATAAAGAACTAATCATAGTGGGATACTTAGCCATAGTTATAAGAAATGTTAAACATCCTTGCTTTGTTAGCCATGACTGCATTGTTCTGATTAAAGAAAGCCAATTCTGATGTGACCTGGCTGGGAGCCCTAGGCCTGGGGAGTTTACCTCAGGAATGCTGTCTATTCTCCTTATCTGAGAATAAGGGAAAACTGCTCCACATCAAGGAACACTAACAACCTTAGAGCCCTGGAGGCAGTGCCCTGGAGACAACCCTTGTAGTCCCAAGCCTGCATTATCCCCAAGCCCACATTACTTCACCCTGCCTGTAATCTGAAACAGGTTTACCCAGTGTTATTCCTTTTTGCCTACCTGCCCTTCCCTAGTAGTTACCCAATATAAGGGACTCAGAGTTCAGAGCAGATTTTTCAGGGATGACCCGCTGCTCTCCCATACTGCCAGCAACCTTGGAATAAACTCACATATGCAATTCAACCTTGCTGTCTCTGCTTAATTGATTCAAGTAGTGACGGGCAGCCTAGATCCATTCATTGTCTGCTTTCAGTTTTACTTAGTTTCTAAAAAAATCTGTCATATTCTATTTTTGTTGTTGTTCAGATAGAATG